TCATGAATAATACACTACACACTCCACATGTCTAGCTTGCTTTTCATTAATTAATTTTTATTGTGTCGTAGAGTCAACTATCAACAAGGGACATTTTAAAGTGTTCCTGTTGCGATCCAATTGCCTCAGAAGTCAGAACTTAAATATTGAATTATAATACCACTAGGCTAAAATGGTGTCAGTCTAGGGTCTCATATCCATAGTCATAGTGGTATTATATATTTTAACATTAAATCAATCGCAAGAGATACTCAGAGTACTTTGTAGTATGCGCTCAGAGGTGTCCAAGAATGTACTAATGAGAGGATGCTGGTTTTATCAGCTAGCTCCTCTGTAATTATAATTGGTGCTCCATTAGTGCATAAATGATTCCAAAGTGGCTTCCAAATGCCGCATCTGAGGTTAGTACTCCATAGTCCGTAATTTGAGCCTAAGGTAGTGGTTGTGCTGATATCGTTTTATCTGATTCAATCCTAAAGACTAGGACCGGCTTCCCCTCCTTGACCCCTCCATCGCTTGATAGTTGCTCCGATTAGTTCGCTATAGAAGTAGAATGCTGCAGAACCCTGCAAGCCATAGGCCTTAAACTCACCACTGAATATAGTTTTGTCTTTAATTTATACATCTCAAATTGCCTCTAGACATTCGCATCATGGGAAGCCACTCTCCCTGGGATATTCCTTTCGATGAACTCCCCAACCCTAGACAAGTCTGGGTTGGGGAGCCGGGGAGCCATGAAGAAGGACTGGGAAAACTCGCCATTTTAACCCCAGAGGTGGTGGCCAAGGCAGCGGCAGCTGAGATCAGGACCGGCCGACGAGTGACAATGAACTGGGATATGACGAAGCTTGACTATCCGAATTTGAATCGGCAGCCCTGCAATCATCAGATCATTCCGCTGCTTGGCGGAGTCGCGTTTGATGATATCTATACAATGAATCCTCGTAGGTCTTGCCAAGCTTCGATTCAAATCTGAGACTGACGGTCATTACTCTAGAGCAGAGTAGTCAATGGGATGGATTAAGGCACTTTTCGCAGACTGTCCCTGGGCAGAAAGAGCGTGTATTCTATGGTGGCACGACGGTTGAGGAGATCAATGACCGTAAGAACGACCGAATCGGTCTGCAGCACTGGGCAAAGGAGGGAATTGCAGGTAAGCTTCAACACGCATGCGAATAGTACTGGTTACTCAGTATGAATGCTAGGACGCGGAGTTTTGATCGACTACGCGACATGGGCAGAGAAGAAGGGGATCAGATATACCACCTTCTCGACGCACCAGGTGCGCTTGTCGGATATCTTGGAGATTGCCAAAGAATGCAACATCACATTTCAAAAGGGCGACATCCTTTTCGTGCGGGTTGGGGTCTCCAAGGAATGGGATACTATCATGACCGATGCGCAGAAGCAGCAGTATTCGGATAACCCGAGCCCAGAGCATGCGGGAGTTGAAGCAACCACTGACGTGCTTCGATGGCTGTGGAATACTGGGTTTGCGGCGATCGCTAGTGATGCGATCAGCTGGGAGGTGAGACATGACCGTTAGAAATAAGAAATATGTGGACTCGGCTGACGCAGTGTAACATGACAGGTCTATCTGCCCCAGAATCCTGATGTGTTCTTGCATGAGTATGTGCTTGCCGGATGGGGAATGCCAATTGGTAAGTCAACCGCATCATCGCTGAGACATGGAGCAGCTCAGAGTGGAGTGCTAACGGTTGATGTTTCTGATAAACAGGAGAGCTTTTCGATCTGGAAGCGCTCGCGCGCACGTGTCAGGAACTCCAGCGTTGGAGTTTCTTCGTCGCGTCGGTGCCCTTGAACATGCCTGGTGGAGTGTCTTCTCCTCCAAATATGATGGCAATCTTTTAGATTATCTACCGGTAGGGAAGAATCGACTGGTTCTTTAGAAAGGTTTGAGCATGCTAGACTACCTAAGGCAACTACGTAAGGCAGCGGTATGACGTGTTAACCACAAGCCCTTGTAGGACATCGAGGAATGACAACTAATAAGTCTAACATGAAGCATTGCATTCATGATGATGCCCCTTTCTAGTTCCTATACAATCCGAAACCGATATATAGAGTAGGCTAGTCGGTCCCACGGAGCACTACCTTACCGTTCGGGCTATAACTAAATACCGCAGTAGATGAGCACAGTCACCGGTCCACTTCCCACTCATGGTTGACACTATCCACTAGTCTGTTTTGATGGTGCTTTGCAACAGTCAGAAAGACCTTCCTGTCCTGAACAGCTAGAATAGGAGAAGTTCATTCAATTTCTCTATTACTCCAAGTGATAACTCCAAGTGATAGCTGCAATTGATAGCACCAAGTGAAACCCCAAATGCGAAACCGCAATCAGACACCATGGAACTTGCCGTGGCAAAATCACAGCGACAATCTTCCAGTACTTTTACGTCTGGACCTGCGTGGCATATAACGGGTCCACAGTATCCCTGCAGGCTGAAAATTTTTAAACCGCCCCAGACACACGACTGGAACTCGGCGTCAGAACTTACCTCGGACATTAGAACAGACTCCGGAGTTGACACTTGACTGAGACCTGTTTCAGCTAGGGATCAAGATGACAGTTGTCAATATTCCCTACAGTTCAAAGTAGTAGTAGTAGTGCAAACTGATACACTAACCTGTCAACCTGCTTCCAAGGCCTACGATGTGATCCTCTATTGTAGAAGCCGGAAAAATGACCCCAAGACCACGCCTTCCTCATACAATTGTGATGGTGAATCCGAGTGATCGACAGACGTCATGCGGACAAGAGTTTATCGTCCGAAGCTAGTCTTAATAGCAGTGTGACTACTGCTGCACTTGAAATTTGTGTATTTCTCAAGAGAACAGTGCTGAGGATATTGTGCATAGAAAGTCACGTTTGAATGCTGAAGGTAGAACATAGTTATCATAGTTATCACAGTATATGTGGAAAGTATAAACTGAGCGAATTTGACGGATTATATCTCATAAACTCAGGTAAATTCAATTCCAATGATCGACCATCATCAAAGTTACTGCTGTAATACCAAAGATTACTGTTACATCCCTTGCCATTCACAGCTCACAATTCTTTTCCCAATCAGGAAAGGTCATTCCCTAGGACACTGCGGCGACGGCAAGTGGGCTCCGATCCCCTCTGTGGGGTAAGCTGATATCATGACTGCCCTATTGTTGGCCATAGAAATCATCGTCGTAAACTAAGTAACAGGGGTATGAACCATGCATGATAATGCCTTTGTCAGAGAGACATCAATGATCATCGCCTTGGTTTAATATCCTTTTCTTTTTCGCTTTTTTGGGGCGGGGCCGGGAAGTGGTGGCTTGCTGGTGGCTTTTTTCCTCTTTGCACCTTGTGCTACCATGGTTCTACTATCTCGATGAACCATCTAAGTAGAATAGATCTCATCTCAAATGCATGGGAATATATCTTATAGATAGGATTGGGTCTCCTATAAGAGTGAAGTTCGATATATTAACAATATTGTAGCCTTGTAGGGCGAAGGCCAGAGACTCAACAAAATTGACCTTTTCGGTCGTTTCCACGACTGTTTAGCCCTGCTCTGAGCAATAATCAAAACCCAATCAATTTTTCTTGGTTGATGGCCTGAAAGTTTCGTCTCAGCGGATAAACCCGTCTGGCTATCTAGGCAGTCTTCGCCGACTAGGGAGCCTGAGACCGGCCGAGTCCTGTCCGAATATTAATATTGACTGTCGGATGGGAATACTACCTTCCTATGTGGACTCCATTAAATAAGGTAGTTCCTGGTAAGTTAAACGTCCTGCCGTATATGGTACACGGTCAGAACTCTTAACTACTCAGAGCATTGTTCAGTATGCTCAGGTTCTGACAAGAGGTAGATCAATCTCGTCCCTGCTGCCTTTGCTGACAGTGCCTACATCCTATTGTAGGAATTCACATGTCGGTAGGAAACCTGACAGAGTGTGGCTCAAATATAAGTGTATCATTACACTAAATCCTCACTTCAGTTTTGATGTATAAACTAGATCAACACAGTATTTCTACTTGTATGATCGTCAATTCCTTCATGTATCATCGTACGCCCGAACTGCAGGAACATTTCCAGCTAATTTCTGAAGGAACAGGCCAAGAGCTTCCGTGTCATCGTCGATCGTCAAGTCTACCGTTCTGGTGGTGCTCGACAGTCCAGGTCTCTCCCGATGGTCAGGGGTGTGGAGATGGCAACTGCCAAATCGATCTTGAAGAATGGAGAATCGACAGAGGCAACGCTCTTAGATGATAGTCTAGCGCATCCTTCATAGGTGAATTGTAGTCCACAGTTCTGTTTCATACAAATATCACTCGTATGGGATCCATCAGGTCATAGATCCCTTTTCTGATGTTCCTTTCTTTTCCGCGCTCAAGATTTCCTTAACCAGGGCCAGATTTAGATATCGTATCTCTTATTCAAGTGTACCCTGGGGGAGCCATTACCATGGCTCTCGCAGTGATGCTTGAGCGAGATGTGGGCGATTCCGTGGACAGGACGATGCAGAATTGGAATACAGCAACTCAGATACTATGCATTGTGGCCATGACTGTATTCTTTGGTTTGCGCGTCTACACTCGAATGTACATTCTCCACGGTTTCGGGAAGGAAGACTGTGCGTGGTCAATAATTGTTTAACCAAATGTGAGAATACTGACCATCATACAGGGACTTGTATGGGCGCTTGGGTATACAATTCCTCAACAGTTCGACTTACGACTTATCCATACTGACGTGGTTGGGAGAGATAGTTCCTTGGAGTCATGTACTCTATCATCGCCCTCATCAGTTAGTATTTGAATTTCATATTGTGACTCGGGCAGCTAACAGCTCGCAGTGGGACATTACGGAGGTGGACTACACCAGGATGATGTGCCAAACTCCTACCTGATCCCTTTCCATAAGGTCTGATTGCTTCCCCCATCTCTTACCAGATTCAGTCCCTGACCTCAACCACCGTAGACCGTTTACGTGACAATGGTCATGTACGGACCGACGGCATTCCTGACCAAAATATCACTCCTCTGGATCATGACCAGGGTATTCAGCCCCTACCGCAAAGCAGTCCTCTTCATCTACATCTTCCTAGTAATCATGCTGCTCTACTACATCCCCGCCGTCATCGTCAAGATCCGCATCTGCAACCCGATTGCGAAATTCTGGGACGACACAACACACGGCACCTGCCTCGACCAGTCGGCAATTATCCTCGCCGACGCAGTCGTCAGCGTCGCCAGCGACTTGATCATCCTCATCCTCCCGCTCCCGCTGACTCTGAGTCTCCAAATGTCCATGCGGAAGAAGCTGCGCGTGATGGGCATTCTCGGCGCCGGAGGCCTCGCCTGCGCATCCAGCGTAGTCCGTCTCATCCTCATTCTCAAAACCGGCCAGTCCAAGGACGGGACTTATTCGTTTATGCGGATCAATATGTTTGGGTGCGTTTCGTCTTTTCTTTTTTCGCTCTGCTTCGTTTCCAGCCATACCACACAAGCAACAAGCAACAAGCACTAACAAGCGAATTTCCTCTCGCAGAAACGCCGAAATCGCCATTGGCGTCATCTGCGCCTGCCTCCCAGCCCTCTCTGCTCTGCTCAGCCGTGTCCTCCACGAATACTCCAGCAACAAAGCAACGCATACCTCCACGCATGAACTCAGCAAAGTGACGAAGCAGAGCCGGCCGGACAGGAGACTCAGCCGCAGCAAACACCAGATGAGTTACTTGGATACCGCGTCCGATCAGGAAATTCTCATGCACAATGCGCAGGGGGACCCTAAGATCGAGACGTCGATTCGGGGGGATACGTCGTCGCGTCGGATCGTGCCGTCGGAGGCCATGGGGATCATGAAGACGGTGGATGTGTCGACGTCGGTGACGACGCACTAAGCGTCTGTTGGTAAGGACGGCAGGCGTTGACTTTTTTCGGGGACGTAAGGAGGTACAGGCTTCACATTGGTTAATATTGGCTACGCGGATGATACCCTCACACCATTTTATTCTTTCTTTTTCTTACTTCTACCGATGAACATTCATTACGGGCATGTACTTATCTTATACACGAGGATTGAACATACTTTGGAAATGAAATAGTTAATAATGACTCCTTCTGCGCCTGCCAAAGAGTAAGGACACTGGAATACCAAAAGACTGGTCTGAAGACTCATCCGCATGGAGGTTGTTCTTTACTTCGGCACGATCTCCGATTTCGATGCAGATCGGATAATCAAGCCTCTGCACACCTGTGAGGCGACTGATATAAACTATACAACCACAGGCTGGGAGCAATGGTAGGTTCAGTCCGACCTTAGTTCTTAATCATTCGTTGTAAAGCCAGCTATGGAGTAACTCCGGTAGATGTTACGGCCATCCTCCCGAGGCAATGGATGTATGAAAGAAATACCTCGCAGGATTGGCATTGTTTGTGTCGTTATCTCGCCACATTTAACTGCGACCAAGACCAGTACCACCTTGAATTTGTACATGTAGATTTGAACATCTGTGGATCTGATGGGGTTGGATCACCCATGGGAGAAAGGGGTGCAGACGGCAAATGCTACGATGGAGACGACTCGGGAATCGGCATTGCACCGCGGTGTCTCCGCACGGTTGACCCCTCTTTGCTTTAGGCTTTAGGTATATAAATGTCCCCTTGTCTTTTCCTTTGTTTATACGCGAGATACGCTGTAGGACTGTTAATCTATCTCGGTTTAAGATACGCTGCAATCAAAATGGCAAAAGCTCCGGCCGGTGCCCGTCTTCGGGGCAAGGTTGCCATTGTAACAGGTATCCCTTAGTTCCTTCAAAGCACCAATGCAATACCGTGAAGTCCGTGCAGTCTCGTTAACCAGGCATAGGAGGAGGCTCGGGCTTCGGCGCAGCCATCTCTCGGCGCTTCGGTGAGGAGGGCGCCAAGGTCATTCTCACCGATATCAATGTCGAGAACGGAGAGAAGATCGCCGCACAAAATCCCGAGAACCTGCTCTTCCGCAAGATGGACGTCACGAGCGCTTCGGACTGGGACGAGGTCATGGATCTTGCCTTTGCCAAATTTGGTCGGTTGGATGTGCTGGTCAACAATGCCGGCACCACATACCGGAATAAGGTGCGGACTACCAGATGAACAACTGCTTGCCTGTACCGACGGGTGATGTCGGTCTGAATCCTATTGAGGTGGCCCCTAGCTGACGTCTGTGCCCTACCAGCCCACTTTGGAAGTCACCGAGGAGGAGTGGGAACGTGTGTTTAATGTCAATGTTCGGAGCATCTTCCTTGCATCGAAAGCATTGATGGGGCGGTTGATCCAGCAGGGCCAAGGAGGTTCTATGATTAACATCTCCTCCACTGGAGCTTCGAGGCCACGACCGGGATTGGTGTGGTACAATGCATCCAAGGGTGCTGTTTCCAATGCATGGCTCCCGTCCTTGACTTTTGTCGAACTCTACCAGCTGACAACGGTAGGCCACCAAAGGGCTTGCGGCTGAGTACGGCCCCCACAATATCCGCGTCAACACAGTCTGTCCCCTCCTGTCCGGGACGGGTCTGTTTTCCATGTTCACCGGCATGGAGGACACGCCTGAGAATCGTGAAAAGTTTATCGGGAATGTGCCCCTCGGCCGGTTGACCGACCCAGATGATGTGGCGAATATGTGTTTGTACCTTGCGAGTGATGAGGGCAGTTTCATCAACGGCACGGAGATGATCGTCGACGGTGGCAAGTGTATCTGATCTAAAGTGAATCATCTCGGTCCGACGAACTTCGTCGGCGGCCACATTTTCAAGAGTAAGGCCATGTAGCCGGATCCCATAGTGACATATCTTCTTCCAACAGTCCCATCATATGCTGGTTTCCAGAAAACCAGCTTCCCAGTTGTGTCTGTGGTATGGCACCAGCCGGAAGGTCTTGTCCTCCCATACTGTTCTCAAGTACAGGCATAGATCTTGCTGCCAAAGAATCCGAAGCAGCAGTATTCCAACGGGGACCGCCGACTCCTGATGCAGGGGCCAAGCCAAGAGCACTCAGATATGTATCAAACTCCTGACCCACAGACGCTAGATCCTGGTTCTCCTGTATTTGGGCCTGTGCTCTCGCCTCTACATATAGCCTCGCAACATTGCCGAGGACTTGACAAAGACTATGTAGTTTCGTGATTGCCTCGGAAAGGAAACAGTTCGGTGCAAGTGAGGAAACAAAGTCTTCTAGTCTCGCGAGATCGTCTCGAGAGGAAGCCTCAATGACGTGACAAAAGAGAACTATGAATGGGACAAACGGGGAGTAGAGAATGGACCTGAAGAATCATCAGAAAACGGACCCCCTTTCATCGAGACAAGCCAAGAGACACTCACCAATGCAGATATGAGCATTTCGTAGCCTCGCTACTTTCCCTCAAACTTGTCATGCAAACCTGATGCGACTTCAATGCAGCCCGTGCCGTCTCTATGCATTCGGGTACAAAAGTGGTGGTGGATTCCCCTGATGCAGGAATCGCTCTGTATATTAAAGTCAATATAGCCAACCTGCTGACTTCATCCGATTTAATCAAGAAGCCTTCAATCTCCGATACAGGACTAGACGACCTTTCGAGCTTCTGTGATCCGTCAATCAAAAAGCTTCCCTTGTGGTAATTTGATCTCCACCGGATGCCTACCTTGAATGGCTCCATGACGGCCACTTCCATCTCCGACGCCAATTGACGAGCACAAAGTACCCTTTCGCGTTCCGGTCCACTTAGAGCCGCCGGACTGTACAGCTGCTCATAGACCTTTCCTTGGATCTCGGCGACTTTCACCCATAGATGATACATTGTTCTCCAAGGTTCGTCGACTTGGTGCCCTCCTAAATCCTCAGGGATGGTAATATCATAATCCTGTATAGATGATGCACGGCCTAGCCTGAGTGAAAGACCCTTGTCGAGACAGTAAACACACAAAAAGAGCGAAAGCGCTTTTGTTTTCTCCTTGTCGCTATACTGATTCATCGATGGACTCCGATGATATCCAAGATTCTGACACAGCCGAGCTGCATTTGACGTCAGCGTCCAGGCAAACGAAGGTTTTGATATTTCAATGGCATGAATAGCTGAGAGAAGAAGCGGTTAGTTGAATTGGCTGAGCAAGGAAGGAGCGAATAGCCTACTCCCAACGTAAGAGCTTCAATTGACTCTGGTCTTGCCGGCATCAACAACGTCAAATCTGCTAGCACGGTTTCAAAATTTTTCCGACAAAGGCGGATGTACTTCTGGTAATCATCTCCAATCTGTGGACTTTCTGCAAGGAAGCTATACTCAAGAAAGATGTGATACAGACCGCAATTGACTACCATGAACGTGGCGTCGGAGTAATCTTCTGTTGCAAAGTACACTTCGCGGCATTTCTGGATGAAGTCGTCAACACTGAGGAAAGGAAAGTAGCATGCGAAGGCAAAAGGAAGCTTTTCTAGCTATGGGTCAATCTCTGCCACGCTTATCATGCAATGCTTAGAGAAAAGTACCTTTTATTTGGCGCAAAATTGGCAGAACCACCTGCATTGGGGGCATGATCAGATCTCGCAAGTTCGAAACCCGACCGCCTTTCTGATTCAGTAACGGAACGTCTTTTAACGAAGACCCAGGTGGATGGCTCTGCATGTTTACGATCTGTCTGAGCGCCGTGAGCGCTGCATTGATTTTCGGGGTAGAAACTTGAGACGCGCTTCGCGAAACGACTGTTTCTAGAAACGCACTTGCGTAGGCGGAATGAGCCGCGAGGGATGAGTTGCCCTCAAACCCAGTAGCAGACTCATGTTCTAACGCGGCTGTGGTATTGGAGGCAAACCCAGATGTATCTGGAGTCATTTGCTTCGAGATAGGAGTCGCGTGGTAGCACGGCTCAGCAGTAGTGGGATTGCGAGCAAGGCTAGATTTCAACTCAAGAAGGACTTCTTCAATGTTGCCTAGACGTTCCTCGATAAGATCGATCTTCTGCTCGCTGTAGCAAGTCAGACAAGAGCACTGACAGGGCCAAGTGCTCCCTACTTACTACTGGCTGGAAATTAGAACCCGCCTGCGATCCTCCTTGGGTTTCTGCCCTGCACCTGTTGAGCGGCAGACAATTCGTGCACTGCGACAATTCGAGCATGGCGATCTCTTATCGCAGCGTACCTGTCGACAGTACGGATGGTTAATTCAAAAAGAGCAATATAATGCGACCCCAAGAGCTCAGGCATCAATTCTACTGTCAGCATACCTTTCTGAGACGGCATTGGTCACACTGCAGCTCGTTAGCAACATGCCAATCCCTTGTATACTGCCCTGCACTCACCGCGCGCTTGTTGAGAAGCTCCTTACTGTCACCTTCGGCTCCCTCGGCCTCCATTCGTTGCTTGTCAGCCATATCGACTCCTAGAGAGACTAGTATCTTCGTCGGCACTCAGCACAGTATGAGATAAAATAGTCTTCTTATTGTCAAATGTGAATTGTGTTGCCTTGGGTGTTGGAGGACAGTGGCGTCGGAACCCGCGGACTCCGAAAGAGCGCGTCACTTGGATTATTACTTCTGCCTTTTTGGGGTAACCACTCTATAGCAGAGCCCATTATTCTTAACGGCGATCACTCTGAACGGAATTCACTATGTCAACTGCTGAAACTACACCAAACATATCATCACTGAGGTTGATAACGAATCTATGCGGGGACATGAATACACTACTCGATTCCTCTTCGGCCTGCCCTAAACTGAATTGTTGGATCAGCCAAAGCCCGTATTCAAAGGCTATAGTTCCATCGATCAACTACAGTCACTCTGAATGCGGGAAAAATTAACACATGTATCTCGAGTAATAACCACATCGGAAGAGAAGAAGTATCCGTTTGCTCATTTCCTCGTTAATGCATTGGTATTTGGTCTCAAAAGAACTGTATCGCACTCTATGTCTATACAAAGCCATCAATTGTGACTCTATCCTTATTCCATATAAATGATGAAATAAAGCACAGGAGACCCCTAGCTGGCCGTCGCTCTGTTGGGTTTCCCAAAATATGCAAAGTCTATTCTATGTCTCCTCGCGGTATTGTACGCGCATCCGGCATCCCCGTCGCGATGAGCCGTCTTGAGGGGCTCGTCTCTGTTCCATGCTTCGTGCCTGGCGCAGGTTGCGATGATAACACCGAATATGCGTCGCTGTCATCCCATTGCATCGCGGCGAATCGTCAAGTGTGTATGCATCGTGACTTCAGCCAAAGAACAGGTCTCGGAATCATTTTTTAATTCCAATCACGGCGAGATTCCTAGGGCTCTCGCTGTATTCGAAAACTGGCTCAACCCAGCAATCCTTGACGGAGTCATGCTCACGCAGGAATTGCCACCTGTCCACGACGATGAGGGCCTCGACGAGTGCTGAACTGAAAGCCATCAGAGCCCAAGTGACGCTAAGATGCTTCTTTCGGGGCCAATATTCCGCTTCATAGCGCTTCACTTCTTCCTCTGTAATGCCGGCCATCCCTGCCTTGACCCTCTCTCCATTGTGTGGGTCCTTGCTGAGCTTCGCCACTGCAGCATGGACGTATGCAGAAAACGACGTAAAGGCGGCCTTTCGCAACGAACCGACAATCAAAGGATTTCCTACCGCATCAGGACCGCCAGTCTCCAAACCATAGAGATCCGTCGGGTTAACAGGTTTCTTTACCACCCCACGGTCGACAAATATGCGCTGGAGAAGGGCTCGGTAGAAGTGCCGCGTGAAGAACGCTTCGCTATCTTCTCTGCCCCAGTTGTAGGGTGCTTGTAGAGACATCGAACGTGCGGTGATATTCAGTTTCACGCCAGTCCCACTGACATGTTTATACGATTCCAGTCGTTTCGACATGGGGAACCCATGAGGATCATACGCACAGGCATCTTGAGTCAAGCGGGGATGTTGAGTGCGGAGGATGGGGAGCTTGTATGTGGCCGGGCCCAGCCTCTCAGTTACCAAGTTATAGCAGCATCCGATCATTGCGATAGCTTTGACAGACGGATTGAGAACTAACGATCTGACACCATGATGAAGAAGGTTGCCACATGAATGAAGGGAAATGACCATGACGTTAGGGTCATCTGCCTTTCCCTCAGACCTCGAGTTTCGGTCAACGACGGAAGCTTGGGAGCCTTGGGTCTCCAAAGATCGAGATTTGACCACATCCTTGATTATAGGCTCCAGGTATCCGTCTCTGATCTCGTGCTCAATGTAATCCATAGCGCCTTTGAGCACAAGTTCATCTTCTTTCTTGCCCACAAATTTCTTGGGCGGCCCATTCTTGTAAGGGCTAGTTCCCCACTCGTCCGGTTGGATATCAATGTCCAGCAAAACATTGAAAACCGTGCTATCTTCACCGTCACCGGCGCCAGGCTGGGTGGAAGCATCATTGGGTACGTTTTCAACTACCTCCACCTCAGGAGTGGATGGCGTCGTATCCTGATCATCCTCCAAGCCCTTGCGGTTCCTCCTGCCATTGGTCTTGTAAACAATTCTCTTCTGCTTCTTCGCCAGTTTTGCATGAATATCCATGCCCTTCGCGCCACTGATAAACTGGTGTTTGCGTTCGATTGCAATTATATGCCTATTGTAAGGAGGGCTTGCCAGCGTCCGTCCAAGGTAGTTCTGGCCTGATCCGAAGTCAACAATATGCGATATATCCTCGCCCCTTTCTTCGGCAACGGTGTCACATAGATCATTAACGTATTTGGAAAAGTGCGCAACCTCGTGATATTTCTTCTGATTCATTCCCACCGCAAGATGGTGAGGTAGCGACACCTTGCCAGACTGTCTTGTTGTGAAATCTCTCCCCAGACTGAGACGACGGATCTGATGAATGTATTCCAGGAGGTCGGCTGCAGGGAGAGGCTGCCCTCTCCAACGAGCATCTGCATCCTGACTCGTGTCACTTCCAGAAAACTTGCGACTCTGCTGCAACAGCGGCGGTATATCTTCTCTCAACAACAGGTCTAGTATATCTTGAATGTCGTGCTTTTCGAAGAATGTCCGCCAATGCAGTGGGAGAAGTGAATCGTACAAATCTGGTTCGCGAGTCAGAAAGTCCAATATATGTACACCCCCGCACACATGGATGAATAGCTCAGACGAGGTCGTAAAGGACAGGAGGGCGTCAACGTAAGCGTCAGGATTAGTCCACTCCTCGGGGAGTGGGAGCGGTTGTGGGCGCGGCATGCGTGCGCTGAATAAGGAAATAGAAGTCAGATACAGATCGCTAAGGATGTCGCATAGCACTCATGAAGCCGCCAACTAACTCCGATTGAGTTTGCAGGCTTCTTTTTTGACTTGATGATTTGGAGATGGAGAAATTGCGGGGAAACATTTACAACTTTTCCAGAAATTTTCTGCCTGAGGGGAAATCACCGATCGGGTTTAGGCCGAGAGAAGTTTAATCGGAAGTATGGAGACAGTTCGTCCACCAGCAGACAGCCGAATCCGATATCTTTCCAAGCCAGTTTGCCATCAGTCTCGTTATCATAATGTCATTTACAAAGCTGAGAATCCAATGTACTCCATATTCTCAGTATTCCCTTCTGCCTCACGATAGCGCCTACTCCGGGGCTTGTTCCGACCAAGCCACTTTAACAGCTAATCGGCGGACTATTGAGTCTGTCAGGCAATAGTTGTTGTCAAACTGTTGATCCTACTGTATGTTGACCATATTGGAAGAGCTAGCACTTTAGCTTTCAGTCTCGATGTTTCTTCTGCTCCGTGTGATATTGCAAGGGAGCCGTGGCATTGATGAATCTCGTTACGAGGATCTGTTCGTTGTCACAACGTGAGGCGTGGCCGAGCTGCGCTTCTCTGAAGAGAACTCAATTTCCCCACGGCAAAGGCCTACTGTCTGCGGGAGTGCGGGTAAGGGTCAGCTTTGGTTTTGAGTTCTCACTTTGAAAGTTGACCAGTCAAGCTGTGATCGTCTGACGACCCGCATAACATACCCAATCCTTCCGACAGACGCATAACAGCCAAGACCATACTCAAGTAACTCAACGCGTCACACCGTTATGATCATTTGCCCAAGTACACTATACACATCAGCTCATTATCCGCTTACTGCAAGGGGGGGCCAATGTGCTTGGCCACCTTAATGGATATAGCTGCAAATCTTGAGCAACCATGTTAGATCTTGGGCACCTACATAAGGGGACTTCAGTGTCAAGCTAAGATATGACTTTGTAATCTCTTCTCTTGCCTTGGGATTGAGAAGACCAAAGCATTGTGCTAATCTTGCAAACATGCAGCAGAATTCAGATGCGGAAATGGTCACGACAAAAGTGTCATTCGGCCATGTCGCCGATGTATATTCCAAATCATCATAAACGGAGACATACGCACGGTCTTAAACGTCCGCCTTGTCAACAAATCGACATATGAGACGATTGGATCACTCGAGCCGCATATCTGCCGCTGGTTCATGCGCCTTCACAATATCAATGCTTTTGCTCCTCTTATCACACTGAATCCGCAGAAAGGCGGCCAGCGACCTGTCACAGTCTACACACTCCCAAGATTCATTTACCGTAAACATACCGCAAGTCAATTAGCACAGCGTATCATTCCCTCTGTATGGGGCCCGTACATTGATGACGGAAATCCTGAGATGGATTACAATGCTGAATTGAAACTCGCACAATCACTGGAACGGGGATTACACGTGCTCTTTCACTTTGCGGACGCCTCCCATGATACAGAGATGCCGCAAGTGAAAGATGGGGAGAAATCAGCTACCCATGGTCCTGGGCGGCGTCTAGTACTGACTTGGGCATCCGACCTGTACGACGACCTCCTAGAACATAGGAGCCAATCGATGACTTTTGATAAGAATTTCGATCATATCTACACAGTGTTGGAATGGGGACATGTGGAAGCGGAAACCGGCAGAAAAAGGCTTCGCTTGAGGAGCTATCTTGATGAACAGAATGAAATTGATTTTCACACTGCTCTACGAATGCTGCGGGAGCTAATGGAGCGCCTGCTTCTCAGACATGGCCCGAAGAATTGGTACCGCGATGCAAAGAACGAGTACAGCCTGGTTTCATGGTTCATCCTGAAGCAATCACCCAAAACGTTAGCGAAGCTTTTTCTAAGTCCTCAAGACGAATGTTGTCATCTGGATGACAAGACTACTGATGCAGGCGTCAGAGAGTGTCGCTTTGCGGATCTCTTGGACAGTTACTGGGCGGAGTGGAAGAACGACCTGGAGCTGCGATGTCGCGATTGCGACTGTAGACGCCGCGTCCGGAGCTGGAGCGTGAAGCCGGCAGTGGTTGACGCTCGAGGGCGGGAATTCAACCGAGCAGCAGAGAAGTATCTAAAGGAGATGTGGAGTCAAAGACATATTGGTCTCCACCGTGCTTTT